GGGGGCGAAAAATGAAGTTTCCCCAATCTTCTCAAAACTCTGGATTCTGATAGAGGGCAATGAGACTTAGTCCTGAGTGCAAAAATGGAGGCTCTAGACCCTTCCAGAGCTGAGATATCGAAACTCAAAATTTTGACCCGAAAAAAAAACGACAGTGGTACCCCTTACGTTTTTTTTGGGGGGCGAAAAATTAAGTTCCCCCAATCTTTCTCAAAAACTCTGGATTCTGATAGAGGGCAATGAGACTTAGTCCTGAGTGCAAAAAATGGAGGCTCTGGACCCTTCCAGAGCTGAGATATCGAAACTCAAAATTTCGACCGGAAAAAAAAAAACGACAGTGGTACCCCTTACGTTTTTTTGGGGGGGGTCGCGAAAAATTTAAGTTTCCCCAATCTTCTCAAAACTCTGATTCTGATAGATGGCCATTGAGACTTAAACCTGAGTGCAAAAATGGAGGCTCTAGACCCTTCCAGAGCTGAGATATCGAAACTCAAAATTTCGACCCGAAAAAAAAAACGACAGTGGTACCCCTTACGTTTTTTTTTTTTCAGGCGAAAAATGAAGTTTCTCCAATCCTCTGAAAACTCTGGATTATGATAGAGGGCAATGAGACTTAAACCTGAACGCAAAAATGGAGGCTCTAGACCCTTCCAGAGCTGAGATATAAAAACTCAAAATTTCGACCCAAAAAAAATGACAGTGGTACCCCTTTCGGTTTTTTTTTCGGGGGGAAAAATGAAGTTTCTCTTCCCACTTCGGACTTCCCTCTTTGCACTTCCCACTTTGTTTCTCTTCGGACTTCCCACTTTGCATGTACGCCATTATAAAAATAGTGGGATAAATGCTACGTGGGATCTCAATATCTCAGCTCTGGAAGGGTCTAGAGCCTCCATTTTTGCACTCAGGTCTAAGTCCCATGACCCTCTATCAGAATCCAGAGTTTCAAGAAGATTGGAGAAACTTATTTTTTCGCACCAAAAAAAAAAAAACGACAGGGGTAACACTGTCGTTTTTTTTTTTTTTTTTTGGGTTGAAATTTTGAGTTGCTCTAATCTTCTTGTAACTCTGGATTCTGATACAGAGCCACGGGACTTAGATCTGAGTGCAAAAATGGAGGCTCTAGACCCTTCCAGAGCTGAGATGTGGACATCCCACGTAGCATTTATGCCATTATAAAAATAGTGGGATTAGGTGGGATCTCAATATATCAGCTCTGGAAGGGTCTAGCCTCCATTTTTGCACTCAGGTCTAAGTCCCATGGCCCTCTATCTCCAATCTTCTCAAAACTCTGGATTCTGATAGAGGGCCATGGGACTTAGACCTGAGTGCAAAAATTGAGGTTCTAGACCCTTCCTGAGCTGAGATATGGAGATATTTATAATGGCATAAGTTGTACCATAACATGTATTATCATAAAGGATCCACCAGTAATCAATGTTATTGCCAAAATCTGGTCAATCACATAAAATGCTTTTTCCACAATGAGCAAACTTAAATATCTCAGTGTGGGGGTCTTAACCATTCTTATACAAGAATGTTTTTATCCAGAAAAAAACGCAGCTCACCAGTTTACTTACATTTAATTACAGTGCAGTCTTTTCCTCCGCAAAATAACGCACCCGTTGACGTTTCGCAGCAACGTTCCAAAGCGGCCAATAGGGCGTCTATGTATATTATGTCTATGTTAGCGACCCCAGGACAGGTGGCGAAAAATCTTGCACATGGTAGGCTACCTTTAAAGGGATAGTTCATCCCAAAATGAAAACCCTGTCAGTAATTACTCACCCTCAAGTTGTTCCAACCCCGTAAGACTTTCGTTTATCTTCGGAACACAAATGAAGAGATTTTTGATTAAATCTGTGAGCTGGATCACTCCACAGCATGATCCAGCTGACAGATTTAATCAAAAATATCTTAATTTGTGTTGTAGCTACAAAAACTACATTTCTATTTCAAAAACGCTCTCCGTCCACACTAGTTTTCCAAATGTTTCACATCCGCATTAAAACGTCGTAAAACGCCAAATTAACCTTATTGAACATGTGAAAAACAGACGGAACAGACATAATAAAGTTTTCATGCAATTCTTCTAGCGTGATCATTTTATTTAGCAACATATCTCGCATTCACTAATGCGTCCAGGTCACTCTCAATCAGCGTTATGTTTGGTCGAAACTTGACTGCTCTCATATCATTTAGTGCAGGACAGCAAATGCGACTGAATTTTCTGTCATTTTTGCAGGACTGAAGAGTGTAACGTTACAAAGAAACATATTTTTAGGCAACAGTGTGAAAGTGAATAGCATATATGCTATTGTTCATATATATATATATATATATATATATATATGTGTGTGTGTGTGTGTGTGTGTGTGCATCAGTGCACAGTGTGCTTTTTAGAAGAATGGGCTTCATAGAGACAGGCAGGAGCGTTACTGACTGGGGGGAGAGAGCTGCAACAACGCCAAATATGAGAAAAATAATGTTTTTTGAACGTTCTAACTATCCTCTATATGACACTGCGTTCAGTCTGTTCACTTAGGTCTACTGCTCGATTTAAACACTAGGTTGTGCTATAATCAAACAAATCAGTCAGATCAGGTTTACACTTGATATTGTTTGCTCAATGTGGAACTAGTTATGGGACCTTTACCCCTCAGACAAATATAATGGATTGACTATCTTTTCCAAAATGCCATTGACACAAATTGTGAAAAACAAATCAATTAAACATGTGAAAGCTGGATTGTTGCTTAGTTGACGTCAAGCACTGATAGATTTAGTACTTCTAAAATCATTTAACAGATGAGCAAATGTTTTGGATGAAGTGGCCAAACAGTCTTATCTGACTGATGTAAGACAGCAACATGAAATATCGCCGGTCAAACTCAGGTCATACAGCCCTGAATGCTTTCAGAATGAAGCACTGGAAACATTTTTGGTCGTGTCCTCATATTGATTCTTGAATAGCGGACAGAAGTGCAAAATTAAAGGTTTATGTGTCATAGTACTGTTTTAGATTATCATGTCCCTTACGAAAATTAACCATTTTTTTTTTTTTTTTTTTAGTAGGCTAACTACCTTTTTAATTGTAGTAAAACCATAGTTAATTTTCGTAAGGAGTTAACATTTGCATTTTTGCATTTTCACTTCAATTTTGTCAATTCGTTCTTGTCGGTCACTCGATGTGTGTCAACAATAACGTCATGTAAATATTCATGGAGAAATCTAGCATTTGCTTGAGTTTTCGGCATACATGCAAGAGACATTTTGTTTTTCTGGTGTAGATAGAAATAGGATCCTCTAAAAACGATGGCCGATATAAATAGGCTATACACACACACACACACACACACACACACACACACACACACACACACACACACACACATATAAATACCTTTTGTTGTATCACATGAACTGTAAAGAAAGATGTTGTATAGTAGCAGTATGTCACGTGTTCACGACACAATGAATGAAAACAGGCAAACGAGCCTGAAGCCAGTCAGACCTATTCATAAGACAAGAGGATTTTTAACACACATTTACAATGAACACTTTGCCTTGAGGACATTAAAATGTGAATTTAGCTTTTGTTAGAAGTTTAAAGCCAGAGAAACATGCAGTTACTGAAGCTGAAGGGAAGTCAACAGATACCTTCGCTGTTCTTGAGCACGATTCTGATGAGATCCAGCTGGATTTACTGCTGTGACACTTTCGGCTGCTTAGATTCCCATGATTCCCTTGTACAATCATCTCTGTGTTAGATAAGGACAAGTTTTTGGCTGTCCAATCAAAGACATGTGCAAAAACATGAAATCAATTTTTTTACTGCATTTACTGCATGTTCATGAGTTTCATTTTGTGGAAAAGTTGCTGTGCTGCACGTATGTTAGTAGTGATTTGAACAAAACCACAAGGCGTAAGCAGGAGTAATATTGATACTTGGCCAAGCAAACCGATAACATGGAAGTAAGTGTTACCAACTGATAAGATAAAAGTATTAAAGACATCTGGAGTGTGAACTTTGAGCAGTTTCAAAACTTTTCACAAGTTTGTGTTTTGAGCTCATTTACAGCAAGAGCAGAAAGAGGATGAACAACCTTTTTTTTTATTTTCAACGTTGTAGGTATAAACAAATATAAAACATACCAAGAACATAAACAATTATATGTGCAAGATTCATATGCTATACAATAAAAACATGCCAATTATTACATAATATTTATTGGACAAGATAATTGGTTCAGATAATTTTTTTTAGCTCTATGCATAAGTGGTTTATAATTATTCATTTTCAGGAAAATAATAAAAAAATTCAGTAGCTTTCATTTAACCAATTAGACTTTTTTTTTTTCTCTCAATGTGAAAATCAAACTCTTTTGGTTTTGACATGAAGACACTATACTGTGTTCATGAACATTAGTTGATTTGCTCTCATGTATTACACGTCCAACCATGTATTATTCTTATCTGATACACTGTTCAAATGTTTGGGGTCATTAAGGTTTTTTTTTTTTTTGTATCCAGCAAAGATGCATTGAATTGATCAAAAGTGACAGTAAATACATTTATAATGTTACATAAGGTAAATGCTGTACTTTTGAACTTTCTATTTATCAAAAAATACTAAAAAAAAAATACAAATAACTGTAAAACAGAAAAAACTGTTTTCAACACTGATAATAATAATAAATGTTGATATTGAGCAGCAAATCATAATATTTGAATGATTTCTGAAGGATCATGTGACACTGAAGACTGGAGTAATGATGCTGAAAATTCAGCTTTGCATCACAGGAATACATGCATCTTAACAAGTTATTTCATTTTTGTATTTTAAAAATTATTAGTTTTTACTGTATTTTTTATCAAATAAAGGCAGTTTTCATGTTTTTGCATATGGTGAGCATAACTTTCAAAAACATTAAAAAAAAAATCTTACTGACCCCAAAGTTTTAGACAGTCGTGTATATGCACAAACTTGCAAAAATACTCCACATTGCTTTAGGACACTCAACTAAACAATAGATGCATTTTACATATGTATAGGCAAAAGTGTAAACATGAATCACAATCTTTCACATTCACCGTGTAAGTCACTATAAGCTCAGTCCTCGTTTATTTTAAGGCGGTCTGGTTTTCGGTGACTAAACCAGAGTCACAGAGAGTCTCTGTTCCACAAAGAAGAAAAAATAGGGACACATCATTCATAGTCACTAAATATAGAGTCCATAAAAAATTGCAGCATTAGAAGCTCACAGTAGACAGCAGGTTCTGTTGTACAGGGGTTAAAGGATTGACTGTCAACAGCTTTAAAATAAAAATAATAAGAGGGGATGAAAAAAATATTTAAATAAAATAGGAATTGTTTTTCCTCCATAAATAGCGTCGGTGAGAGATTCAGCATGATGCACAACGGTGCAATTCCACTTGAATCGTCAGTTAGCCCCGCCCCTTAGTGAAACCTCATTGGTTTAGAATCTGCGTACAGCTTTATGATTGGCTGTTATTTTAACACTACACTGAAGTGAAATCTAACTTTACACCTATTTAGGATGTCATAATAATGTTCAGAGACAGACGGCTGTTATACATATACAGCTAGTAAATATTTTTGTTACCTATTGTGGACAGGTTGGTTAGTAAGATTGATTTCCAAAATGTGTTTTATATATATATATATATATATATATATATATATATATATATATATATATATACACACATACATACATACACACACATGTGCCTTGGTTAGTTAGTGGTACTAATTATAAACGTCGTCCTTATGAGATAGCGAGATCGACACGAGATTGCAGAGTTGTCATGGATAAAGACTTTAGTAAATAAAATGTTAAAATAAAGTAGTATTTTATAAAAATGAATCATGCTATGCAGATGTGTCTGGATATTATAACACCAAATTGTTGTGGTTATAAAAGGCTATAAAGTCCCTAAACCTACCGCCACAGGAAAACATTTCGTTACATCAAAAAATAAAGTCACTATAATCCAGTTTATATATATATATATATATATGAAGACTTCAGAATGCAAAAGCCTCCAAGTCCGTCCGTCTAACGTTGTTTTTTTTTTTTTTTAATATTAACATTTTTATCAGGCTCCTAGTTTCTACTAAAGTAGCCTACCGACATTTCTGAATGGGCTAAGGCTGGGATTTTGTGAGCTTGAAGTGAAATTATTTGATGAAACACTCAATATTATTATTCATTTTTGACAGAGGTGGCTTTCAGAAGTGGCTTATATATATGAATATAAGTGGTGGCTTATATATATGAATATAATATCTAATTACCAGTGTGAAAAATGGACTGCATTTATATATAATATATATATATACGTATATATTATATATAAGAAAGACCTTTTTGGCATCTGTTCCATGTTCATACTTTTCGTCCTGGATTTCTTACTCAGGGAACCACACACTCTTGTCTTCTGATGACTTCACTTTCTTTCCCATGCCGAAAGCATCGCTTCCAACAGCAGAAGTGCATCTAGTCGGTAAATGTCAACCGGTGGTTTTGAGGTTGTCATGGAAACGGCCAGTTCCCCTTGAAAAAGTTCGTCTTTGTGCTCCGATACAATAAAGTCCCTCAGGGTTCATTAGATGTCAGATCTGTGCACTTGGCGTAATTGAGCGTGCATAAAACAAAAAGCGGTACGAACACGGTCAGCCGTCTGTAGAGGAGTATAAAATCTAATATTCAGTGTTAGTTCATGCATTCACTTGCTCTCTCTGAAATGTGAGTGTTGTCCTGTGGAAGAGAGCGCGGTCAGTGCCAGTGTACAGTGTGTGTGCAGCAGCGTGTGTGTGGCTGTCTGTACGAGACGTGGTGCAGCATCCAGTGGTTTCGGAGTGTCTGCCCTCACAGGTCAAAGGTCAGGCTCATGCAGGCCTGCTGTAGGAGTAAAGATTGTTCCTGTCCGTGTCTGCGATCTGAAGGCTGGGTTTGCGTTCGCTGTCTTCGTTTTCAGCGTTTTCGACATCCTGGCAGCGGGGCGGGCGCTCTTTGAAGAAGTCAGAGACGTATCGCACCTGTGACGGAGAGCAGAAACACTGAATGCAACTTGCAAAATAGACCATTATTTCAGATTGAGCACACACTATGCTCCATGCGCAACAAGACTGCATTTATTTGATAAAGAAACTGAAATATTGTTAAATATTATGACAATTTAAAATAACTGTTTTCAAAAAGAATCGCTACTTTTTTCAAAAAGAATCGCTACTTTTACTTTTTCAAAAAGAATCACGACTTTTTTCAAAAAGAATCGCTACTTTTACTTTTTCAAAAAGAATCACTACTTTTTTCAAAAAGAATCACTACTTTTTTCAAAAAGAATCACGACTTTTTTCAAAAAGAATCACGACTTTTTTCAAAAAGAATCGCTACTTTTACTTTTTCAAAAAGAATCACTACTTTTTTCTAAAAGAATCACGACTTTTTTCAAAAAGAATCGCTCCTTTTACTTTTTCAAAAAGAATCGCTACTTTTACTTTTTCAAAAAGAATCACTACTTTTTTCAAAAAGAATCACTACTTTTTTCAAAAAAGAATTGCTACTTTTTCAAAAAGAATCGCTACTTTTTCAAAAAGAATCACTACTTTTTTCAAAAAGAATCACTATTTTTTCCCCAAAGGAATCGCCACTTTTTCAAAAAGAATCGCTACTTTTTCAAAAAAGAATTGCTACTCTTTCAAAAAGAATTGCTACTTTTTTCAAAAAGAATCGCTACTTTTACTTTTTCAAAAAGAATCACTACTTTTTTCAAAAAGAATCACGACTTTTTTCAAAAAGAATCGCTACTTTTTTCAAAAAGAATCACTACTTTTTTCAAAAAGAATCGCTACTTTTTTCAAAAAGAATCGCTACTTTTTTTCAAAAAGAATCGCTCTTTTTACTTTTTCAAAAAGAATCACTACTTTTTTTAAAAAAGAATCACTACTTTTTTTAAAAAAGAATCACTACTTTTTAAAAAAAAAATCACTACTTTTTCAAAAAGAGTCACAAAATGTTTTACTTTTTTATACTTTTTCTTTGCGCCTGACAATTTATAGTGATATATTTAACAATATCTTTTGCATTTCTATTTCGAACAAACTCGGCACTGCACATACTCGTGCCCGTAGCAAGACACCCGTCAAGTCTGAGATCCATCAGACTAACGGTTCTAACGGTTCAGAGATATGCGATTAACAAAGAGACAGAAAGACGTTCCTGTAATTTATAAATAGATATAGAACAGGAAAAAAAACATTCTAATTAAGTGCAATTAAATAACTTAATTATATACATACCAAATCTTTCTCTTTTTTTAGCATAAATATAAGTTACTGAAGTTCAAGGGAGAGTATTTAAATGGATTTAATTATCATGAAAATGCAAACAAATCCCAGTGGTTCTGCAACAGGATATTTTCCTTATGCATTTTTATTTTTTATTTTAATTTTGGGGTGAAATTAAGCTGGTTTCATGAGATTACTGCACTCACCGTGAGGACTGCGATCAGCGCCCCTTGCAGAAGACCCACGACCACGTCGCTCCAGTGGTGTTTGTAGTCAGACACACGTGTGTATCCCACATAAATGGCAAAGGCAACCAGGAAGAACTGAATTGTTGGCCGGAGGAGGCGGGCCCACTTGGATGCCATGCGTGCCTGGACATACAGCTATGCACAGGATGAGGAAAAACAACGACGGATTATTACACAATATTTTAAAAGAGGATATGGGAATGAAAATGGAAAATCAACCTTGTGCATTCAGCAGCAGGAAACGAAATATTAAGTCTTAAGTTGTGGGAAAGCACCTTGTCTAAATATGACCTGGCAGCATCTTAACTACAGACACGTCGGAACACGAGTGAAGCAACCAGAAAACCTTAAGTGTTTATTAATTCACCCTCATGTCGACGCCACAAACCTGTATGACTTTCACTCTTCGGTGGAACACAAAAAGAGAAATTCCCAAGAATATTCATGTTCAGAAGATAAAGTCATGCAGGTGTGGAGATGAGTAGCCTAAATAATCATGTCAGAACTTAGAGGACCTATTGTGCTTTTTTACATTTTCAACTGTCTTTAGTGTGTAATGTTGCTGATGTCACTGAAATCCCTGAAACGCATCCATTGTAGTCTTGAGTTTTCTACCGGGAACGAAGACGTCACGATATTCCTCATTTAAATAATTAATTTGCAGAATAAAGGGGTGGGGTCTGATTAAGTGTCTAGAAAAAGTCGCAGTTATGGTTAAGGGGCGGGACTTTGCAGAATAAAGGGGTGGGGTCTGATTAAGTGTCTAGAAAAAGTCGCAGTTATGGTTAAGGGGCGGGACTTTTTCTTAAACATGCTAAAATCGGCTGACCAATCACAAAACACTGGTCCAGCCGACCAATCAGAGCACATTGTGCTTTTTGGAAGGAGGGGCTTCATAGAGACAGGAACTAAACGGTCCTGCAACAATGTCAAATACGTTTCATTAACTTTCATGAAAAGCTATTCTAGTAGAGCCCAAACAACAAAATCAAAACTTTGTTTTAATAGGAAACTTTAAGCATTGCATACTATCTTGAGGTCATAGTTTATTTCCTGTTGCTCTAAGGGTGTCCTTTATCTGTCTACACAAGTCTTCTGTGTCAGCATGATTGTAGAAGAGGAAGACAACTGTGACAACTCACCGCCAGAAACAACATGCAGTACATCCCGAAGGAGGAGTGACCGGAGTAGAAGGACAGCCTGGTGCAACAGGACCGATGGAGGAAGGGCGGATCGACAGATACAAAACAACAGAGGGAGAGAGGGAAAAGAATCATTTTCACAGTTCACACATCATTTGGAACGAAACGGTCATGGGTCATTCCTCACTTTAAGGGACTTTTTGTCAAACTATGTTTCAAAAGTGTTAAAACCTTTATCACATGTCCATAATGGCCTTGACCTTCAAATGCATTTTGGTATGTGTGATGCCAATGACCTTTTCATGTTTAGCAGAAAGAGCTTTATAACTCTTGGACTTGCAAGGTCAACAAATTACTTTTAATTTATAAAATAAAAGAAAACAGTAATAAAAAATAAATAAAAAACAGAATAAATAAAAAGAACAGTAAATCTCAGATTATTTAAATATAGTGATAACTGTTTAAAGTAAACATAAACAGTGGAGAAAGAAAACACGTGTTACGTTATAATGGATCTGTGCGTCAGGTCTTAAAGTGACGGCAGCCTAATATACCTGCTGCAAAATTATGAGATAATATCAAACATGTCTAATATGCCAGTTTTTCCCAATCAAATCAATGTCAAAATTGTGGCCAGTGAAAATGCTGAGTGGCTAGTAAATCACTAGCCACAGTGGCAGGTGAGCAAAAAAAGTTAACGTCAAGCCTGATTACAAATATAATAATAAAATATTTCAAAATAATATTTTTAATTTAAAAAGTTCCCCTAATTATGGAAGCTTGTTTCCACCAGAGAATGGAAAATAAAAAAAGGTAATTGCGACTTTTTATGTCGCAATTCTGACTTTATTTCTCAGAATTGTGAGATATAAAGTCGGAATTGCGAGATATAAAGTCGGAATTGCGAGATATAAAGTCAGAATTGCGAGATATAAAGTCGAAATTGCGAGATATAAAGTCGGAATTGCGTGATATAAAAGTCGGAATTGCGAGATATAAAGTCAGAATTGTAAGATATAAAGTCAGAATTGCGAGATATAAAGTCAGAATTGCGAGATATAAAGTCAGAATTGCGAGATATAAAGTCGAAATTGCGAGATATAAAGTCGAAATTGCGAGATATAAAGTCGGAATTGCGTGATATAAAGTCGGAATTGCGAGATATGAAGTCGGAATTGCGTAATATAAAGTCGGAATTGCGAGATATGAAGTCGGAATTGCGTGATATAAAGTCGGAATTGCGTGATATAAAGTCAGAATTGTAAGATATAAAGTCGGAATTGCATGATATAAAGTTGGAATTGTGTGATATAAAGTCGGAATTGCATGATATAAAGTCGGAATTGCGAGATATAAAGTCGGAATTGCATGATATAAAGTCGGAATTGCGAGATATAAAGTTGGAATTGCGAGATATAAAGTCGGAATTGCATGATATAAAGTTGGAATTGCGAGATATAAAGTCGGAATTGTGTGATATAAAGTCAGAGTTGCGAGTTATAAAGTCAGAATTGTGAGATATAAAGTCAGAATTGCGAGATATAAAGTCAGAATTGTGAGATATAAAGTCAGAATTGCGAGATATAAAGTCAGAATTGCGAGATATAGTCAGAATTGCGAGATATAAAGTCAGAATTGCTAGATATAAAGTCAGAATTGTGAGATATAAAGTCAGAATTGTGAGATATAAAGTCAGAATTGCGAGATATAAAGTCAGAATTGCGAGATATAGTCAGAATTGCGAGATATAAAGTCAGAATTGTGAGATATAAAGTCAGAATTGTGAGATATAAAGTCAGAATTGCGAGATATAGTCAGAATTGCGAGATATAAAGTCAGAATTGTGAGATATAAAGTTGGAATTGCGAGATATAAAGTCGGAATTGCATGATATAAAGTCGGAATTGCGAGATATAAAGTCGGAATTGCATGATATAAAGTCGGAATTGCGAGATATAAAGTTGGAATTGCGAGATATAAAGTCGGAATTGCATGATATAAAGTTGGAATTGCAAGATATAAAGTCGGAATTGTGTGATATAAAGTCAGAGTTGCGAGTTATAAAGTCAGAATTGTGAGATATAAAGTCAGAATTGCGAGATATAAAGTCAGAATTGTGAGATATAAAGTCAGAATTGCGAGATATAAAGTCAGAATTGCGAGATATAGTCAGAATTGCGAGATATAAAGTCAGAATTGCTAGATATAAAGTCAGAATTGTGAGATATAAAGTCAGAATTGTGAGATATAAAGTCAGAATTGCGAGATATAAAGTCAGAATTGCGAGATATAGTCAGAATTGCGAGATATAAAGTCAGAATTGTGAGATATAAAGTCAGAATTGTGAGATATAAAGTCAGAATTGCGAGATATAAAGTCAGAATTGCGAGATATAAAGTCAGAATTGCGAGATATAGTCAGAATTGCGAGATATAAAGTCAGAATTGCGAGATATAAAGTCAGAATTGCGAGATATAAAGTCAGAATTGTGAGATATAGTCAGAATTGCGAGATATAAAGTCAGAATTGTGAGATATAAAGTCAGAATTGCGAGATATAGTCAGAATTGCGAGATATAAAGTCAGAATTGCGAGATATAAAGTCAGAATTGCGAGATATAAAGTCCGAATTGCGAGATATAAAGTCCGAATTGCGAGATATAAAGTCAGAACTGTGAGATATAAACTCGCAATTGTGAGAAAAAAAAGTCAGAATTTTAACATAAAAAGTCTCAATTGTCTTTTTTTCTCGCAATTGCGACTTCATTTCTCATATTTGCGACTTTATATCCCGCAATTGTGACTTTATATCTCGCAACTGTGAGAAAAAAAGTCGCAGTTATTTTTTTCATTTTTTTTATTCAGTGGCGGAAACAAGCTTCCATACCTAATTGACAAATCGGCCAGATAGAACTGAAATATTTTCTGAACACTGGTCATGCTTTGTGTTGCATGTATAATCAAATCTATTTATACTTCAAGCCTCTTGAGGAAATATGGCATTTGAAAACACCACTGAGACCTTTGGACTGCAAAGGTCACCGCATAAGAAATCACAAATGTACTGGACAAACAGGAAGTGAAACAACAGGTGAACAGCAAAAATAAACAAATACAGGAAGTGAGGTCAGCAGTTTATGACTTCTGACACCGGCCCTTCCTGTCTCCTGCTTCTGTACCTGGATTCTGTCACGTTGCGATGGGTTCCCGTGCAGTTTATCTCCAGCATGTAGCCCTCACACACTTCTGGAGCACACACCGCCATGAAGTTGGGCCGTAAGCGTCCGATGGTGTACTTGGCCATATCGGTCAGAGACTGGCTCACACACGCGCCGAACAGAAACGTCCCCACCACTTTGTAGAGCGCCACAGCGTACTGGTTAAAGTCAGAATTGGAGTAAAGCCGTTTGGTGTAGACCAGGTAGGCCTCTCCGGAAGTGATCTGCAAGTGAGGAAACAATGAAGTCACTTAAACATTTTACCCATGAATGAGCAATATCAATAATGATGCATGAGTCAACATTGGTACATTGTAATAGCTTTTTATATTACATTTTTTATTGATTGTGTAAACATCTATTATGATTACTTTGTCAAGCACTTTGAATCCCCATTGTGTAACTATCAAACTGATTACAAATAATAATAATAATTATATATTTCAAAATAATATCTTTAATTTAAAAAGGTTCCCCTAATTATGGAAACTTGTTTGTGCCACAGAACGAAAAATAAAAAAAAGATAATTGTGACTTTTTATCTCGCAATTTTGACTTTATTTCACAGAAATGCGAGATGTAAAGTCAGAATTGCGAGATATAAAGTCGCAATTGTGTGTTATAAACTCAGAATTGCGTGATATTAAGTCAGAATTGCGAGATATAAAGTCAGAATTGAGTGATACAAAGTCAGAATTGCGAGATATAAAGTCAGATTGTGATATAGTCGCAATTGTGTGTTATAAAGTCAGAAATGCATGATATAAAGTTAAAACTACGTGTTGTAAAGTCAGAATTGTGAGAAATAAACTATTCTGATGGGAAAAATTTTAGTCTTTTTCCCTTAGAATTGGCCCGATAACTCGCAATTGCGAGTTTATATCTCACAATTCTGAGAAAAGATGTCAGAATTATGAAAAGATGTCGAGATATAAACTCGCAATTGTGAGATAAAAAGTCAAAATTGTGAGATAAAGTCTCAATTCTGTAAAATAAAGCCTGCGAGTACACTGTAATAGTTTTTTATATTCCATTTTTAATTGATTTCATACACATCTATTATGATTACTTTGTGAAGCACTTTGAATCATCATTGTGTAACTATCAAAAGGTACATAAACTTGCCTTAAGGTTCATTCTCAGTAATAAAAGTAACTGTTGGATAGATGACTCATGTTTTGAGTTGTACTCTGATGAAACATACTGAACTAATTACAATGTTCAGAACATGTGGCCACAATACAAAATCAACTTGCATCTTTTCACAATCAAATACAGACCCGAAATTTCACAATTACTACAACTGGCTGGTTCTCAAAAGTGTTTCAACAGCAAATCCCTTTAGACAGTTATGATGCTTCTTAAACATACAGTTCACAGAACAATAAAACTTTGAACAAACAGTCGAACCCAATAAAAGTAGTTCATATTCAATTGTGTGCTATATTCTGAATTCCTATGATAGCTTTGTGTGAAGAACAGGCAGATATTTAAGTGAGAAGACGACTTCCTCGTGAGCTTCACTGTGAGTCATTGAGTTAAATTCATGAAACACATTAGTTTGATTCTTTTGGTCTTCTTTGGGTCCTTTTTGAAGCTCGACAGCCAAAGTCACCATCCTCTTTTTCCAACATAACATTCCCTGTTTTCCAATGGAAAAACATGCCTCTCGCCTATAAAAATACAATTCACAACAGTTTCCTGCTGAAATGAACACGAGGGAGTAAAACACCAACAACTTTTAATCCTTTTTACACAAATTATTGATTAATAAAGACATTTTTTTATGTGGTTCATTGCACAAAACTATGCCATGACCTGAAAATACTTTTAACATAGTGATAAACCGCTGATTTGTAACCTGATACATGTTGATGTTTGCGTATACTAGAGCCAGACCGATATATCGGCAGACCGATATTATCGGCCGATATTAGGCATTTTCCAAACTATCGGTATCGGCAGTTATAATGGCCGATAAATGAATATTTCAAAAATAAAATAAAAACGGACGAAACACGCTTGAACCATGTCATGAGTGTTGGAGTTGTATAGTTTCTCCACCAGAGGGCACTCTACACCGTTCCTGTTGGCAACACTCGTTGAGTTGGTCACGAGACATACATTGCTTGAATAACAATTAAAAGAACATCCCCATCAGTTCTCTTAACTCAAATAAGCATGACAAAATTTGTGACTATCATGTCCAGTTTAAAAAAATAATTAAATAAATAAAATATCGGCCGATATATCGGATTTTAAAACCCCAAAATATTTGTATCGGTATCGGCCTTCAAAATTCTTTATCGGTCGGGCTCTAGCGTATACGTTTGGCTTTTCTAGTAAATTTGCTCAGTAGCTCACCATTGCAATGTGGAGGGCTCGGGTATCAGTCCTGTGAAATACGAGTTGTGATAAAAAGCTCAAAGGCTTGTAGAAACAAGCTTAAATTACATGGTTGCTTCACCAAATACGTTTTAGCTCACTTTTGCTTTCGTTTACTAGCCTGGATGCTAGCCCGAATCCCGCCCACAGTATTTTTTGGTCAAATCGCCAGGGCGGGCTTTATACGATGATGGACAGATGACCTGCAGTTACGAAAAAATCACGTTATCAAAGAGCGTTTGGGTTGAACTGGCTTCCTTCAAAGATGGCCGCCGCTGGAGAATTGAGATATACGCTATCGCGTCTGTTGCAAATAAAATGCATAGTAGGACCCCTTTAAAGGTTTGCTCAGCTGCCTGATTGGTGGAGACTCACGATAATGATGGAGCAGGAAATGGTAACGGCCGCCATCATCTTGTGAGAGATGGTGTCTGGTCTGTAGGGGTAACGAATGGTCTCGTCATCACAGTAAACGCCACGCTGGTACGGCCGGAACATGATGGTCATTATGATGAACGGCATCGCCACTGAAACACAAACAACAGCGTTATTATTGGGCTCAGATGGCTGGCTCAGTAACACACATCAGACAAATCATCTAGCGCATGTCTTGTGTTGAATTTTCCATGGGAACAGAAAAAAGAAAGAAAATGCTTTTGTGATAGGAAACAGATGACATTGAAGTTCATCAGTGCTTCTGCGAATCATGCAGGGAAATCAACACAGATAGTGTACAACAGACTTTTCCACATCAAGAAATATCATTGACCAATCATAAATGTCAAACACATGTTGTGGATTCAGTAATGCTGGATAATCTTAAACCGCTTGCCATCCGGATACAGGATGTCAGTGGGAATTATCGCCAGGGTCACGGCACCAGATGTCAGTTCAACAGATGCCCACAACAGTATCTTGTGACCAGGAAAAGCACTGATTTATGTCTCCAACATGTGCAACTCCACTATTTTTTTTAATCAAAAGTCATGAGAACCTTTGGTCGTGTTTCTCAAAGCCTGAATATTCCACGCGGATCTTTTCCCATCGGACGGCAAAGATGCCAATCAGATTTATCAGGGACCGTCGAGGGAAAATAAACTTTGGATATCGAGGCAGAGTGCTTCATCATCAAGTCCATCAACATATTTTCTATTCCCACAGCAACGGTAACTTTCCCAAGATCAGGACCTTGGAGTCCAGTCATATTATATTACTTGAATCCACACACATGAAAGCAGACGTACACGACCAAATTACACATTCAAAGCAGCCTTAGTCAGAACACAAGTTTAAAGATGTGCTCCCAAAAGGACTGAAGGAACCAAAAATGTGTATTTGAACACTTAAAAATGTGTGAATGTCATCAAACCAAATAGTATTTATGTTAAAGAACATTAAGAACACAAAATGTATTCTTATTCTATTTATTCATATTGCACATACGCATAATTTCAAGTGCTTTACATAGGAATTACATAGCAAAGATGAGAGAAAAACAAACATGTAAGAATTGTTGGGGGGGAAGTAATCAGTTTTAAAATAATTTAAGAACATACAATTAATAAGAAAAAGACAAATGAAATATCTTCAACTTAAATGCTCAAACTTAAAGTTTTAAATGATTTCAGACAATGAATAAGGGTCTTATCAAGCGAAACGATCACTTATTTAATAAATAAATAACAAAGTTTAAGTTTAATAAACTCAAATGCTCGCCTTGCTCTGTTCTGTGATGCGCGTTTGTGACTTTCCTGTTCGAACTCGTTCATCAAAATGAACAAATCTTTTCCTGAGTCAACTCGTTCATTTCGTTCGTTGAATGAACCAAATGACACGAAAAAAGATTTGTTCATTTTGATAAATGAGTTCGAACAGGAGAGTCACGAACGCGCATCACAGAACAGAGCAAGGCGAGCATTTGAGCTTATAAAACAAACTTTTTTTTTAAATGAGCGTTTGCTTCGTGTAATCAGACACTTATTCATCGTCTGGAATCGTTTAAAGTCCTTTGAACAGTTTGCAGTTTGCACTGAAACTCTCTTTTGGATCTTGAACCGTTTGGTTCCCATTGAAGTTCATTATATGGAGAAAATCCTGGAATGTTTTCATCAGAAACCTTAATTTCTTTTCGACTGAAGAAAGAAAGACATGGACATCTTGGAGGACATGGGGGTGAGTAGATTATCAGCAAAAGTTTTTTTTAAAAGTGAACTATTCCTTTAAGAAAATTTGGACTAAACCTTTCAAATAATTTGGATTAGTTTTACGATCTCTTTATGAACTTTTTGAAGCATCAAAGCGTCAATGGAGGGACAGAAAGCTCTCAGATTTCATCAAAAAGATCTTCATTTGTGTTCAGAAGATTTACAGTTTTGGAACGACATGAGGGCGAGTGATTAATGACAGAATTTCCATCTTTGGGTGAACTATCCCTTTAATGCATTAACTATTGTTAACTAATGGAACTTTATTGTAAAGTGTACTTATTTATTTCATAAAACTTTCAGATAATGATGTCATAAGCCAGCTTGGAAGTCAATTTTTATTTATATGTAAATTAATGTGCAATTATTTGTCTGCATAAATTAACTTGGCAGCTGCTCATAGGCTTTGACGTCGAGGTTAACAGTAGCTGAGCTTATAACTCTGCCTTCATTGACACTGTAAGGTTCTAATTAAAGTTTTATGAGTTTCCAACAGATGACCCCCAAAGCTCATTGTCATCCCCTCGCATCTGTTAAAAGACAGCTTTACAGTCGAATTCACTGTGAAAATGTATGTGGTTGCTGGTGCCATTGTGTCAATGTAATGAATGTAAGCCATTTGTGTTCCCTTTTACAGCCCATCTGGGTTTATGGACATTTCCTTTTGTGCAAGAAAAACTTGTATTCTTTGTGTCTGAAAACAATGCATGCTTACTCAACACATTTTTAACCTTTCCCAGGATGTCTTGTTGGATCTAAAATGGGGATTTTTCTTTCTGGAAATATATGATGAATGGATGACCTACAGTACGAACAATGCTTCGTAAATAATTATTATACAATAAAAAGCCAAACATCAAAAAATGCAGTCAAACATGGTGATCATGAAAGTACTTTTGAACACTCATTTCATTGAATTAGATAATGTCAAAAGCAAATTTTGCAAATTTAAAATATTTTTCATCTTCAATATGTAACTATATTAAAGGAGTAGTTCACTTTTAAAAAAAACCTTTGATGATAATTTACTCACCCCCATGTCATCCAAGATGTCCACGTCTTTCTTTCTTCAGTCGAAAAGATATTAAGGTTTTTGATGAAAGCATTCCAGGATTTTCTCCATATAATGGACTTCAATGGGAACCAAACGGTTCAAGGTCCAAATGAGAGTTTCAGTGCAGCTTCAAAGGGCTTTAAACGATTTCAGACGATGAATAGGGTCTTATCTAGGACCCTTCGGGTCATGACTTGAAAAAAGATTTGTTTATTTTGATGAACGAGTTCGAATAGGAGAGTCATAAACGTGCATCACAGAACAGACCAAGGCGACCATTTGTGCCTATACAACTTAAACTGTTTTTTTTTTTTTTTTAAATGACCGATCGTTTCGCTTGATAAGACCCTTATTCATCGTCTGGTGTCGTTTAAAGCCCTTTGAAGCTGCACTGAAACTCTCATTTGGACCTTGAACCGTTTGGACCCCAATGAAGTCCATTATATGGAGAAAATCCTGGAATGCTTTCATCAAAAACCTTAATTTCTTTTCGACTGAAGAAAGAAAGACATGGACATCTTGGATGACATGGGGGTGAGTAAATTATCAGCAAAAGTTTTTTTTAAAGTGAACTACTCCTTTAAGACACTACAGTTAAAGTTAAAGGGAAAGTTAACCTTTTTGGGCAAACTATCCATTTAACAAACACTGAAAAATGCAGAAATGAAGATTATTGTATGAACTAAAACTTCTAAAGCATTGATTAATTTGACATTTCTCTCACTTTCGCCAACTTTTTTTACAATTAGCTTGTTGCAAAGCATTCTGGGATTGCATTAGACCACCTTTGAATTTGGCCAAAGAGAAGGTCTCTTAAAAAGCAATTTAACTAGACTTTTAAAACATGCGTAACATGCTTCCTATAACTTACAATTTGAGAGGAGAGCCACAATCTGACTCAGACTGATAACATTGTTATGAAAGGGTTGAACCTTTATTTTCAGAAACGCAACCCCCGATTTAAGCAAGTTAAAGGTTATTTACACGAGACTCTCAAATCATGGGTGTGAAGGTTAGCCTGCCCTAAAGGAACACGGCCGTCCACTATTACAGGACATTCAGAGCCTCGAGGTTAACCGTCTCTATCAGAACTCTCTCTGTATGTCAGACTGTAAAAAACCTTTAACCTCCTTCCACTCAAGCCTTTTCTCTCCCTTCCTTCTTCCATCATTATCTGTCTTTTACAAATCCTTCCTTCTTGTTTGAAGAGACCGCATCATTCGGCTGTCCTCAATTTAAAGACATTCAGTTCAGAAAGACGAAGACAACCAAGATGAAGTTCAGGAAACGGGTTTAAAAGAATCATCTCTACAGTTACATTCGGTCCATGATAACATTTGTGTTTGTGACAAAATATGCATTTATTTCAGATTGCGTGATTGATAGCAAATCTCAAATCGCATAATTCAAACTAGATTATCATTCAGTGATATATTTGGATATACCCGCATACAGTACTCACACAACAAAATCTCAACTGCTTCATTGCTTGTATCGTCATAATGTCAAATATATTTTCGCCCAGTTCTAATCTGCTAAACGAAACTATAAGACATGAAAATATTAAAGGCACACTATGCAGGAATTCAGTTTTTGTCAAACAGTGACCCCTAGAGTCGCTGTGAAGTATTGTATTTAACGCTACTATCGTAAACACCACTCGCTTCAGAGCGTCTCTGCACTCACGGCCTGATACGCCTTTGAAAGCATTATATTAAGGTACAAATCTTGCATCTAGAAGATCTAGGGGGTGTTTATAGGTAGGCCTATATGATATTAGACAACATAACCTATAATAAAAGATAACGAATTTCAAACCTAAACCAACCATTTTTTTTTTTCAAAGACCAACAGTCTGTCATTAGTCTTTAGTCTGCCACTAAAAAGCGGTGTGTTGTGGTTCCGGTACACCAGCCACGTCAACGAAACGAATGAATGAAAATTTGCTTATAAATTCGTGCCTACATCTTTGTAGAACTTTTTAAATATTTTATCAGACAATAACTACTCGCGATTTTGCTTTAGTATAATTTTTTGGACGATTCAGGACAACAGCTTAGATTTCGGGACTGACCCGAATTTTTTGGGACGTCTGGTCATGTGGCGGTGCGCGCGCAGTCTCCACTCGAACGCGCTCTTCTATCGACGTTGTGGACTCTCTCTATTCATTCCGGTATATCACAAAATAAAATGCACACAAAGAGAGAGAGAGCGCCCCGGCCTCTCATGTCTTCAAACAACAATAGTAAAAGGTTGGAAGACCGCAGAT